CCAGGTACCTTGTGCTTATTTTCTAATGCCTCCCCCCCCCCGTGTTTTCTGCTCCACCCCGAATTCGCCTCCCTTCCACTCTCCTTAAGCAGCCATTTATGGTCTTAATACAGCCCTCAGTCTGTCTCCCTTTCCACACCCCCTAAAAGTCTTCCTTCAGGCAGGCTTCCAGAGGTCGGCTGGCAGGATGCAGGTAAACCCTCCCCCTTGTCCTGCTGCCTCCCACAGCGCTGCTCCGCGTCCCGTGCCTCCATGGCCCAAGCCCCAATTTGTCACACACAAGAGGGGTGCGGCCGGAGCGCCAGCTCCCGCTCGGAAGGCACCGCTTCTCCCCTTCCGGGCCGGCTGGCTGGCCTCTGACGCACATGTGGGCATCGCCGCTGCCTTGCCCTCTTCCCCGCCGCCTGGCCGCTTCTGAGACCCGGAGCCCGGCGAGCCGGGAAGGAGCTGCTCCATTGTGGGAAACCGATCCGGGCACCGCAGCAGAAGCCACAAGCTGTGGGGGATCCCTGCCGCTGCTGCCAGAGCCGGCTACAACAGAGCGCCAGCCAGTTGCTTCAACCAGGCGCCGGCGGCCTCGGGATGCCCCGCCCATTGCTGACATTGCCGTGCCGTTTCCCATGATGCCAGGGAATCCCCGCCCCGCCGGAGCCGGCCACAATGGAGCACCGGCCACCTGCTCTAACCAGGCGCCGGCAGGCAGTCCTAAGGTGCGCCGGAGTCATGCACGCCGTCCGGCAGGCTGCTGTCAACTGTTTTTCCTGCATGGCATTTCCAGCGGCTGGCTGCATCTTCGTCCCGTGATTGTTTGGCTCCCTCATCATGTCCCTCCCCCACAGAAAGGGCATGGCTCTTCATGCAGGCTTTCCCCCTTGCGGGGCTTCTGATTAACTCTGTGCTCGGCTGCCCCACCCCCTGAGAAGTGTGGCAGGAAGTTCTTTCCCAGGGAGCCGCGCGATCCCAGCGCTACCATAGGCCCCGCTGGCTAGAAAGGCGCGCCGGAGTCCCGGCTGCCAGGAAGGTGATCGCCTCGCTCTTCTCCCATCGTCTGCTCTGCCCGGCTCGAGCGGCGTTGGTACTTCCAAAGGTGGTCACTTCAAGGTCGCAGAGGTAGCCCTCGGCCACTCCCCTCCCCACCTCCAAATCGATTCCTGATCGGAGAGAGAGAGAGGGAGGGAGGGAGAAAGAGAGGGAAAGAGATGGAGAAAGAAATAAAGAGGAAGAGAGAGAAAGGGAGAGAGAGGGGGAGAGAGAAAGAAAGGGAGAGAGAGAGGAAGGGAGAGAAAGAGGAAGGGAGAGAAAGGGAGGGAGGGAGAGAGAAAGAGGGAGAGAGGAAAGAGAGAGGGGGAGAGGAAAGAGAAAGACAGGAAAGAGAAAGGGAAGAGAGAAAGAGGGAGAGGAAAGAGAGGAAGAGGAGAGAGGGAGAGGGGAAAGGAAAGAGAAAGAGAGGAGAGAGGGAGAGGAAAGAAAGAGAGGAAAGAGAGAAAGAGAGGAAGAGAGGGAGAGAGG